AATCTACTACTTCCTGACATTCCTCGTTGCTCACAGAGACTGACGTAATCGATGCGTAGCACGCGCGAGCGCAGCGTAGACCGACGTTTCGCTGGACATTTACTGCACGCTCGTCGATCGTGGTTCGTAACATTTCTATTATTATCTTCGTTCCATCGTGGGCGACCCTGTGGAACCGGCGAGAACTTTCTGTCCATCCCGAGAATCGAATCGCGTGTGAAGAGAGCACGTAAATAACTCTTAATAAAACGCGTTTACGCGGCACGCGAATCTTCTTATAAATTTCTTATCGAAAATCTGTGATCTCGAGGACGAGTCGTATTCTCGTGCCGAGTCGATGCGTTAAAAAAAATTGATCATCGATGTACTTGGAAGATCGGGTTTGTTTTTTTTTTTTTTAGTTTTGGCATCGATTGTCATTGTGTCGATTATCGAATTATTATCGATGGTCGATCGTTGGTTCCAACCGCGCGCCCACGATTAATCGTAGAGATTAAAAAGGATGAACGGCTTGGTGATATTATCCGGAAGACAAGAAGATAACTCTCATTGTTGTAAAAGTACAAATGCCACGGGACGGCCGCGCGAGTAGCTTTAAATACTCTCGTGCGCATTTCGGTTATATATTACTGCCCATGTTGCGCCAATAAAAACGTTAAAAAACTATATATACGACGAAGGAAGCTTGTTGGAATGTGAAACGAATAAATCGTTGATAACAAGCGAGGACGTAGTCCCTCGGTGTACCTCTGAAACCCCGGGTATCAGAAGGGAAAGTGTGGGGAACCGCGTGCCAAGAGGAAAGAGTATGAAACGTGACGAGTATGAAAGTAGAAGTTAATGTCTCGTGGAAGAGGAGGAGGAAAGCGTTAAGAACAGTGGTGGATCTGGATGTTTCATCCCCTTTCCCTTTTGGCGAGTGATACGATCGTCGATAGTCAAAGCTGCTCAATTTAGCGCACATAATAGATGTTATTCGATGGTAGACAGACTCGAACAGAGTCGAAGAGACGCACAACACGCGACGAGGATTAATTCTCGTTCGAGGACGAACTTGTTGGATCTCGTTTTCGCGTATGAAAGTCGCGAGCAAACCCTGTCCCGTTCTTTTCAAAGACGAAAAAGCCGCTTAACAGACTAGGAAAGAGAGAGAGAGAGGAGAGGAGAGAGAGAGAGAGAGAGAAGTAGGAA